GGGGAGTAAACATTTAGGGAGGACACGAGACTGGCAGGGACATGAGACTGGGAGGAAAGATATAACAGGGACATGAGACTGGGGGGAAATATATAACAGGGACATGAGACTGGGGAGAAAATATATAACAGAGACACGAGACTGGGGAGGAAATATATAACCGGGACACGAGACTGGAGAGTAAATATATAACAGGGACATGAGACTGGCAGGGACATGAGACTGGGAGTACAGATATAACAGGGACATGAGACTGGGAGTATATATATAACAGGGACATGAAACTGGGGAGTAAATACTTAACGAGGACACGAGACTGGCAGGGACATGAGACTGGGAGTACAGATATAACAGGGACATGAGACTGGGAGTATATATATAACAGGGACATGAGTCTGGGGAGTAAATACTTAACGAGGACACGAGACTGGCAGGGACATGAGACTGGGAGTAAAAATATAACAGGGACATGAGACTGGGGAGTAAATATATAACAGAGACACGAGACTGGGGAGTAAATATATAACCGGGACATGAGATAGGGAGTAAATATATAACAGGGACATGAGACTGGGAGTAAATATATAACAGGGACACGAGACTGGCAGGGACATGAGACTGGGAGTAAAGATATAACAGGGACATGAGACTGGGAGTATATATATAACAGGGACATGAGACTGGGGAGTAAATACTTAACGAGGACACGAGACTGGCAGGGACATGAGACTGGGAGTAAATATATAACAAGGACATGAGACTGGGAGGAAATACATAACAGGGACATGAGACTGGGGGGTAAATATATAACGAGGACACGAGACTGGGGAGAGTGAATATATAACAGGGACACGAGACTTGGGAGAGTGAATATATATCAGGGACATGACACTGGGGAGAGTGAATATATAACGGGGACATGAGACTGGGGAGAGTGAATATATAACGGGGACATGAGACTGGGGAGAGTGAATATATAACGGGGACATGAGACTGGGGAGAGTGAATATATAACGGGGACATGAGACTGGGGAGAGTGAATATATAACAGGGACATGAGACTGGGGAGTAAATATATAACAGAGACACGAGACTGGGGAGTAAATATATAACCGGGACACGAGACTGGAGAGTAAATATATAACAGGGACATGAGACTGGCAGGGACATGAGACTGGGAGTAAATATATAACAGGGACATGAGACTGGGAGTAAATACATAACAGGGACATGAGACTGGGGAGTAAATATATAACGAGGACACGAGACTGGGGAGAGTGAATATATAATAGGGACACGAGACTGGGGAAGGTGAATATAAAACAGGGACACGAGACTGGGGAGCAAATATATAACAGGGAACGAGACTGGGGAAGGTGAATATATAACGGGGACACGAGACTGGGGAGAGTGAATATATAACAGGGACACGAGACTTGGGAGAGTGAATATATATCAGGGACATGAGACTGGGGAGAGTGAATATATAACGGGGACATGAGACTGGGGAGAGTGAATATATAACAGGGACACGAGACTGGGGAGAGTGAATATATAACAGGGACATGAGACTGGGGAGAGTGAATATATAACAGGGACAAGAGACTGTTGGGTAAATATATAACAGGGACACGATACACGATTATGATTTTCTATTTAACACTCTTAAACATTTAAACTTTAAAGAGTTTTTGAGAATATGACCAGACCTGAAAATCGATCGAACAATTTTACTGGGGCCAAACAAAAAAGCATTTTATTTCATGTTAAATGTCTGGGGGAAAAACGTCGCGTCGGTAGGTAGGTAATTATTGATTTTGATTGATTGATTGGTTTCACGTCTGCTTCACTACCGAGTAGTCCGGTTATCCAGCAGACGAAAGGTAATATTTTTATTTTTATTTTTATTTTATAAGGCTTGCATAGGAGAGTGATCTTAACTTTAATAGTCCTTCCTTGAAAATTGCCAAACAGTTTAGAGAAGGCACAAAAAATAAGGGTAGGTATAACCGGAAACAAACAACATTTTTGTTTGACCTCACAGGTTTGACAGTGTCATAAACTGCGTCCATACAACATTTCTGTCTATAACTATAATAGTTAGGTAGAAGGGTCCACCATATTTTACCAGTTTTGACGACTACAATATGTGTTCACATATTATGATCGATCAATGATGAATCATCGATCGTTTGAGAAATAGGGATGACCGATCATGAATTTTTAAGCGATTCTCAACGCTTACAGTAACACAACTTTATTGAAAGTGAATACATGTATCTATAAATCGTTTATCTTTGGGATGTTTTGAGGTGGGTTTTTTTAATATTTTCATGAAATGAAATTCGCCGATTATAATCTATCCCCGTTGTAGTGAGCTTGATGTTAGTTATAGCAGACACAGGGACCTGACAATTTGTTACAGCTATATTTGAACCTAGATGAATTATTCATAGTAATATTGTACGTTTAGTTTAAACAGTATTTTATTCAATATATGGCAGTGACAAAATGATACAAAAATCAACTAAGAGGATTCGAAAACAACTACATAAGTACTTATATCCATTCGTCTCCTTATCAATAAACCTGGCAGTAGGTCGGCACTGTTGCATATATTTTGATAATATAACAGACAAAGAGAAGAAGAAATCAGGGAGGGGAGGGCGGAAGTGGTTACGAAGAAAATAACAAGAAGAACTACATTACTTGATTGAATCTGGTTGGAATGTGATTCATGAAAAGGTAACCCTAATGAGCTCTATATAAGGATGCATTAAATCCATTTGAAATCCCTAAATTGCATATAAATTGTCTTACGTTGATTCCAATCAAAAAGTATACTGATATCCTGTAAAATGCAAGAGTTTTGTAGTCTATATTAATTTCAGTATCAACAAAACTCATTAAGTCTAAATATCATACTGACGTGTCACAAGTGTTGTCGAACAACATAGGTTTCAAAGTTAATGTACATTGTTTAAACAAATGCAATAATGACATGAAAAATAAAATGAACTGAATAAATCTTGCACTAAAATCGTTTCGACTTACAGATAAATTGTTGGACAGAGTCAAACATATTTAAGTTATATTGATCTGGCATATCAGGATTTCCATACAGCAGCAGATTTAAATTATTCCCAGGAGGAAGATTTCTAAAACATTGTAATCTTAATTGTTCGAAGTTAGGACAAAATATTGTACGTTTGAAGAGTTTAGCTCATACTTAACTATTCTATACATGTTTATCATCACTGGGGTTGACGTTTTTACCGAAGGTTAATCTAAACCCCTTAAATATGTAAAACAAAAATACCCTGAACGCCTTCGTTTAGATCTAAATATAGCTGTAACAAATCATCAGGTCCCTGTGATAGCAGAATTATGGAAATTCTGAATTAATTGATATAGGCTAATTTGAGAAATATGTTGCAAATAAATGTATGCAATAGATTTTAAATGTATCATTGGCAAATCGCTCTGCTGATTATATTACGTCGTTTTTTATCATTTTTACCTCCAGCACCCTGCCAGCTGTTGAAGCTAGGTGAATGTACAGCGCTGGCCAGAGAGACGATAGGAATTTAATATGCCGTGTCAATAGCACAATTTATTACGTTTAATGGCCCTTGTGGTATCCGGAATTATATATATATACGTTGTGAACAAAACAAAGTCATTGTATGCACGTTTTTTTTTTTTTTTATCTAAACTTGTAAATAACATGAAATGTTAATATCATGTGCTTCTGTATTTTTATTTAATGATGTGTCGTAGGCTAATTGTCTGAATTTAAATCCTAACCTGACTGAATCACAATATGTAAATTACATGTTGATTGAAATGTGACACTCTATTACAATGTATTATTATTTTTAAGCAAATGAATAATTTACCGGAAATTACCCAAATATCGACTGTAAAGATGTTCCGGAATAATGTCTGATCGACTGTTACAATTTACCTGTATTGAGTATGACATTATAGCATGACCGCTATATAAGAAGTGCAGACCTATGTATATTGGGTAGAATTGGAGAAGTGATCGCTATACGGAGTATTCACCTATAGACGTATTGGGTAGAACTGGAGTATTCACCTATAGACGCATTGGGTTGAACTGGTGTATTCACCTATAGACGTATTGGGTAGAACTGGAGTATTCACCTATAGACGTATTGTGTAGAACTGGAGTATTCACCTATAGACGTATTGGTTAGAACTGGAGTATTCACCTATAGACGCATTGGTTAGAACTGGAGTATTCACCTATAGACGTATTGGGTAGAACTGGAGTAGCGACCGTTATACTAAGTAGCGATACAGACCTCGACGTATATAGGGTAGAAGTTTGGAAACGACCGTTATGCTTAGTAGCAATACAGATCTCGGTATATTTGGCGGAAATTGAAAAAGCAACCGTTATACGTACATATACATGTAGTAAGTACACAGACTTAAGATAAACGCGTACACGGTCAAAATGGAACAGCGCATTGGATTGCGACCGTTGTATACAGGGTGAATTGGTTTATACGCATGCAGGTATAATTGAAGTAGCGACTTTAATATACAGGGTGAATAAGTTTAAACGTCTTTAGAGTAGAATTGGAGCAGCGACCGTTATATACAGGGTGAATCAGTTAAAACGGATGCATAGTATTTTTGAGCTGCGACCGTTATATACAGGATGAATATGTATATACATGTACATATGCAGGTAGAAATGAAGTAGCGACCGTTATATACAGGTTGAATCAGTTTATACGGCTGTATCGTATTTTGGAACTGCGATCGTGTTATGCAGGTTGAATGGATTTATACGGTCTGTAATGCAGGATTGGAGTAGCGACCGTTATATACAGGGTGAATAAGCTTATACGTCTGAATAGGGTAGAATTGAACCATTATATACAGAGCATACTGTAGGGTAAAGTTACAGAGTGATAGTTATTTATATTACTTTTTTAAGATGGATGAAGAGATGCGACACGTACCTGGGTATCTAGGGTAAAAATAGTTGGAGTAGCGTTCGGACATCCATGGCTGAAGACTTCGGACGTCCCGAGAAGCTGGGTTGATGACGAAGGGATGAAGAGGACCGCCTTGTGGGCTATGAGGATACACGGAATGATGAATGTTGAGCGGGGACAACGGATGGCGACACATCCGGGGGTGAAAGTATGTCCCCGTGGCCCCCGCGGTCTGGGCAAGCACATCGTGTAGGTGCTTCAGACTGTCCATACTAGGGTGGTGTAAATGTTTGTCCGCTAAGTGAAATGAATGCACGGACGTGTCCCTACTAAATTCACTTTCTCCGGACGAACGGACGTCCTCATCAAGTCTCTGTCGCGTACAAAACACGCCCTCGTGTTTTTCTCTAAACCCTGAGGAACGTTTCTCTTCCGATGTGAGTTGAACTTTGTCTTTGGAATGGTCAGTTGGTAGTCCGGACAATGTCCGGCCATTTTCACACCTTTCATTTTGTTTACCTATGATCGAGTCTATCGTGAAGCCGACGGCCTTTTTTCTACAAGCATCTCCTGCCACTGTAGCAGACATTGTCCCAGAGTACGTTACAGTTCGTCCTCTGACGTTTACGCCTTGTTATGTATTTTACGACACAATCACACGTGTATATATGTTAGCTCTCAGAAAACATGGACAGATGTGGTAGTAGTACTGGCGTGTTCGCTGAACCAAACCAAATACACACACACACACGCATACACCGAAGTAGGTTGTTTGTGGTCCGAACTCCACAACCAATATCGTGTATGTTAGTTGAAATAGGAGTGGCCTCGTTTACAAAACACACGCCTTAAAATCATTACCCAGCCAATGGAAAACGTTATCTTTGTAGGCGTAACTCACTCAGTCGTTAGCGCGTTCATTGATCAATATACGGCAGTAAATGACCGCCTCTATTTCTCCTGTTACAGTTGATGATAAAGAAAATTAATAAAATCATGACAGGAACGTGCATGCCGCATTCAGAAGTTTATACAGTGTAACTGAACACGAATGGATTTTAATAAATGTACATTTGCAATTGCATATTCTCTAACTAGTAAATGTTTCGTTTTTGAATAATTCAATTGTTTTTATTCATTTCTATTTCTTTCAACCAGTTTGAATCCTATTTTAACAGCACACAACTGAGCATGGTGATGTAGCTTGCGGTGCTATTCCTCTGTCAAATCAATAGCGTCGTTTAAACACATCATCCATTTCTGGCGGACAGTTCGCCGTAATTGGCGAGCACTCAAACCAGTCAATAACTCCTGATGAATATTAATGAGTTTGTCTGATACGAATTAGCCGCGATAATTTCTCTCTCTATATTATGTTTCCTGTGGCATTACTCAGCTATTTTAAATTTTGTCGTGTTCCTATTAATCAAAATAAAAGGGTTCTTTCTATACAAATTATATAGATAATTTGTTAATTGATACAGGACTATCATCATTATACACACTATATCAATGCTGCTGTTTGAATCTGTTCCATCACAGGACCTCGTGATAAATAATGGCAATTTTACATGCAGTTGATTCAATTAATTGATTACTATGGCTTTGCTGTTCGACGCGTAATGGTCTTGATGAGCAGACATTTGTAAGTGTGAAAATAGCACCAACAGGAAAAGTTATTAAATTTCAATCATTAAGGTACTATATGATTTGATTTCTTTTTTTCTGTTTTTCTGAGTGTTTTTTTTTTTGTATTTTGTTTAGGGGAATTTTTTCTATTTTCTAATTTTTCTATGAGAAAGGCTTGTAATTGTTTAGCACTATAATTCACATAAAGATAATATTTTTGTTTTCAGCATACTATTGGTTTCTATATAAACAATCGCATCTACACCCAAAATTCGTTAAATCGAACTCTATACCTTTCTACATAGTAAACATAAATATATCTCTACACACAATGAATATAGAATATATATCAATACACAGTAAACATAAATATATCTCTATACACAATGAACATAAAATATATATATGTATACAGTAAACATAAATATATCTCTATACACCGTAAACATACAATATATCTCTATACACAGTAAACATACAATAAATCTCTATACACAGTAAACATACAATATATCTCTATACACAGTAAACGAACAAAATATCTCTATACACAGTAAACATACAATATATCTCTATACACAGTAAACATACAGTATATCTCTATACACAATCAACATACAGTTTATCTCTATACACAGTAAACATACAAAATATCTTTATACACAGTAATCATACAATATATATCTATACACAGTAAACATACAATATATATCTATACACAATAAACATACAGTATATCTCTATACACAATAAACATACGAAAGATCTCTTTAAGCAGTAAACATACAATATATCTATATACACAGTAAACATACAGTAAATCTCTATACTCAATAAACATACAATAAATCTCTATACACAATAAACATACAAAAGATCTCTATACACAGTAATCATACAAAATATCTCTATACACAGTAATCATAAAATATATTTCTATACACAGTAAACATTCAAAATATATCTATACACAGTAAACATACAATATATCTCTATACACAGTAAACATACAAAATATCTATATGCACAGTAAACATTCAAAATATCTCTATACACAGTAAACATACAATATATCTCTATACACAGTAAACATACAAAATATCTATATGCACAGTAAACATACAGTATATCTCTATACACAGTAAACATACAATACATCTCTATACACAGTAAACGAACAAAATATCTCTATACACAGTAAACATACAATATATCTCTATACACAGTAAAAAAAACAATCTGTCTCTATACACAGTAAACATACAATATATATCTATACACAGTAAACATACCATATATCTCTATACACAATAAACATACAAAAGATCTCTATACACAGTAATCATACAAAATATCTCTATACACAGTAATCATACAATATATATATATATACACAGTAAACATTCAAAATATCTCTATACACAGTAAACATACAATAACTCTCTATACACAGTAAACATACAGTATATCTGTATACACAGTAAACATACAATCTGTCTCTATACACAGTAAACATACAATATATATCTATACACAGTAAACATACCATATATCTCTATACACAATAAACATACAAAAGATCTCTATACACAGTAAACATACAATAACTCTCTATACACAGTAAACATACAGTATATCTCTATACACAGTAAACATACAATCTGTCTCTATACACAGTAAACGAACAAAATATCTCTATACACAGTAAACATACCATATCTCTATATACACAGTAAACATACAATATATCTATATACACAGTAAACATACAATATATCTCTATACACAGTAAACATACAAAATATCTCTATACACAGTAAACATACAATATATCTATATACACAGTAAACATACAATATATCTCTTTACACAGTAAACATACAATATATCTCTATACACAGTAAACATAAAAAATATCTCTATACACAGTAAACGCACAATTGATCTGTATACACAGTAATCATACAAAAGGTCTCTATAAACAGTAAATATTCAATCTACCTCTATACACAATAAACATTCATAATATCTCTATACACAGTAAACATACAATATATCTAAACACACAGTAAACATACAATATATCTCTATACACAGTAAACATACAATACATCTCTATACAAAATAAACACACAAAATATCTATACACAGTAATCATACAACATACCTCTATACACCGTAAAAATACAATCTGTCTCTATACACAGTAAACGAACAAAATATATCTATACACAGCAATCATACAATATACCTCTATACACAGTAAACATACAAAATATCTCTATACACAGTAAACATACAAAATAACTATATGCACAGTAAGCATACAATCTGTCTCTATACACAGTAAACGAACAAAATATATCTATACACAGTAAACATACAATATACCTCTATACACAGTAAACATACAAAATATATCTATACACAGTAAACATACAGTATATCTCTATACACAGTAAACATACAATACATCTCTATACACAGTAAACATACAATTGATCTTTATACACAGTAATCATACAAAAGGTCTCTATAAACAGTAAATATTCAATCTACCTCTATACACAATAAACATTCATAATATCTCTATACACAGTAAACATTCAATATATCTGTATACACAGTAAACATACAATATATCTCTATACACACTAAACATACAGTATATCTCTATACACAAAAAACATACAATATACCTCTATACACAGTAAACATACAATAACTCTATATACACAGTAAACATACAATATATCTCTATACACAGTAAACATACAATACATCTCTATACAAAATAAACACACAAAATATCTATACACAGTAATCATACAACATACCTCTATACACCGTAAAAATACAATCTGTCTCTATACACAGTAAACGAACTAAATATATCTATACGCAGTAAACATACAATATACCTCTATACACAGTAAACATACAAGTATATCTCTATACACAGTAAACATACAATATATCTTTATACACAATTAACATTCAATATATTTCTTTAACAGTAAACATACAATATAACTCTATACACAGTAAACATACGATATATCTCTATACACAGTAAACATACAAAATATCTCTATACACAATAAACATACAGTATATCGCTATACACAATAAACATACAATCTGTCTCTATACACAGTAAACATACAAAATATCTCTATCCACAATAAACATACAGTATATCGCTATACACAATAAACATACAATCTGTCTCTATACACAGTAAACATACAATATATCACAGTAAACGAACAAAATATCTCTATACACAGTAAACATACAAAATAACTATATGCACAGTAAGCATACAATCTGTCTCTATACACAGTAAACTAACAAAATATATCTATACACAGTAAACATACAATATATCTCTATACACACTAAACATACAGTATATGTCTATACACAAAAAACATACAATGTACCTCTATACACAGTAAACATACAATAACTCTATATACACAGTAAACATACAATATATCTCTATACACAATAAAAATTCAATATATCTCTATACACAGTAAACATACAATATATCTCTATACACAGTAAACATTCAATATATCTCTATACACAATAAACATACAGTGTATCTCTATACACAGTAAACATACAATATATCTTTATACACAATTAACATTCAATATATTTCTTTAACAGTAAACATACAATATATCTCTATACACAGTTAACATACAAAATATCTAAACACACAGTAAACATACAATCTGTCTCTATACACAGTAAACGAACAAAGTATATCTATACACAGTAAACATACAATATACCTCTATACACAGTAAACATACAAGTATATCTCTATACACAGTAAACATACAATACATCTCTATACAAAATAAACACACAAAATATCTATACACAGTAATCATACAACATACCTCTATACACCGTAAAAATACAATCTGTCTCTATACACAGTAAACGAACTAAATATATCTATACGCAGTAAACATACAATATACCTCTATACACAGTAAACATACAATAACTCTATATACACAGTAAACATACAATATATCTCTATACACACTAAATACACCGTAAAAATACAATCTGTCTCTATACACAGTAAACGAACAAAGTATATCTATACACAGTAAACATACAA